TCCTCGGACCTTCGACGGGCCGACCACATTCTCGGCCCAGCAGCCCAATGACATGAAGACAGTCCGAAGCCCAGTCCAGACGCGAAGCCCACGTTGATGCAACCGACCTTGGCAAGAAAGGAATCCGCGAAGACTTAGGAAGTTTAGCCGCCTTAGAGATAGTATATATACTTGATGTAAAAACCCMTGAGAGGGCACTGGCAATCTGATTCACAAAAACTTACAGAGCAATAAAAAAACAACTTTCGATACTTTGGTGATCTTAGCTAACCCTAGAAATCTCTACCTCTTCACGAAACCCTAACAAATCTAGTTGTGTTGGTTTTGGCCTCCACACTTGGCACCTAGCTATTCATTGAGTTTTCAAATAAAAAATGTAATCATAAAAATATTTATGTTCTATAACGCTTACTAAAATAAATTTATAATTATATAAATGTTCATAATGATTTCTTAGAATTTCTTCTAAAATTGAAATGGTTATATTATATTTCTCTATTTAAATGGCAATGATGTATTTCCATCTGATAGAATTTTAGAATTTTCTTTAATTGTTACGAGATGATTGTTTAATCCATAACAAGTTAAGTTATTACGTGTAAATCTAGGTTTCAATCGGTGTGATCACTAAAGGAACAATATAAATGATAAAGACGAGAATAAAATGGAAAAATATTTAAAGAACAAAAAAGAATAAAATATGCATGAAATATGAAATAAACTTTTAAAGTGAACGATAATCATCACAATGAATTAATTTGTATATATGTAATTTAAAAATGGTTAATTAGGTGAATATTATGCTTTGGATATGTAATTAGGTGAGTAACATGTATGGAATATAAATTAGGTGAATAACAAATTGTTGATCCAATTGGACAAAAATGCCTTTAATTACATTATAATGGAAAGTGGTTTAAAAAATCAGTAAATCTCCCTAAAAATTTGTTGTCAATCAAGGGAATCTGGTCAACCATGAAAATCTTTATCTCAATAACCGAACCAAGATTGACCTTATATATATAGTAATTGAGAGCAAGATTCAGTATGTAGAGTTAACTATATTCGGGATTTTTTATGTTGTTATAGTTAGCTAAAATTATAACTAAAATAGTGAACTATTTATTTCAAATAATAATATAGTTTACTATACAACATTAGTTAGCTATTCAAATAATAATATAGTTAACTATATAAARATTARAATAATCAATTCAYTRYAATATATGMTTGTCTATGTTTARCAATATTGTTAATCTATATAGTTAGCTATTATCTCATCTATAGTGATCAAAATACGAATAGTTAGCTATTATCTCATAAACGGTAATCAAAATAGTTCACTGTATAACGTTTGTTAGCTAGCTACTCAAATAATAATATAGTTCACTATGTAAACATTAGTTAACTATTGAAATAATAATATAGTTCACTATATAAACATTACAATTATCAATTTACTTGTATTTTTTTTTGTATATGTTTATCAATATCGTTAATCAATATAGTTAACTATTATCTCACCATTTACCTTCTTATTGATTAGCTCGCGACCAAAACGAAATAATAGATTAGGTAAATTAGAATTTTTTTATCTTCGGAGAAAAAGAGAAGTATGAAGAAGAATAGATTATTGCGAATTTGGTAAGAATTTTT